CCTAAAGCCCTTCGTCCGAGAGTTTACCAGAGCTTTGTTTCTTCCTAATTGCATTTCTTCTTGACTGCGCGTCAGCGCGTCAAACGAGATGGCTTGATCGAAGCGATCGCTGCTCCCGATATGGGATGTCCACACTGTGCATGCTTACCGCCTGCCTCGACCGAACTTTCTCAGCAAGGAAACAGCGACCTTGTTCTCTGAACATCTAGGAAGCCGGAAGTTACGAAGATACAAAAAAAAAATTAAAGTTTGCGCGAGTTTGATGGCATTCAAAACGGCGCCGGCATTTAACGTTTCTCCCAACGTTAAAGCCGTCTATTCCATAACGGAAGGTTACGAAATAAATACCGAGCGACTCGGCAAAAATGCGGCTCTTCGCGAATGATAAGCTTTGCTCGTTTGACTAGATTTACCTTAATTGATTGGCCCGTCCTAACGGCGCTTAGATCCCAGCATCCATCGTCGTGTCATTACACGAAGATTAATGGAAGATCGAAAGACAATAAAACTAGCTTTTTCATACAAAAATTAACCTTGATTAAATGGCATCAAATAATAAATTCATTCAGTTCGCGGATTGGAGAAGGCCGGGGAAAACGCTACACAGATCGGACGTTGCTATTAGGGCTGCGATTACTCACATTACACAGTGCATGCGAGCTTTGTGTAGCAGCTAGTTCGCTAGTTCTCGTCACTACTGCGACGAAAACTCCGTTTTATAAAAAGTTGCCATATGCAACAGGCATTCTTACCTCACAGAGACGGGAGCCTTCCGTGGGCGTCCACAATTATCGCGTTTGATTTTATAAAACCCTTATTTGCGACTTTTTAAGTGTTCTCTCTCTCTCTCTCTTTCTAAGAACCAGTAAAAAAAAAAAAAAAAAACGAAAATTACGAGGGCTGTGATTGGAGCATCCAACCGCACAACAACGGACCATTTTCTTACCAGAAACCCTAAACATAAGGCTCTGTACACGGGATAGCATCCGGCCCTGGATGCGCGCCGTTCTCCCGGCGTTTTACGTTAATAGGCGGTTGCTAGGCTTGACGTCAGTGCTATGGGAGGAGTCTGGGAGGAGCTAAGGTACGGCGAGAGGTCACCGAGGACAATAGATGTTCAGACTCTTCCCCTATATATGTGGCTCTGGAAAGAGCAAGATGCCAGCGCTGCATAAGTCCCAGGCAGTAGATTGGAGGTATTTTTTTTTCTTTACTTATTTTCCGGATGGTATCCGCGTAGGGGGGACAGGGATAAGAGATAGGGGCATGATTCTTGACAAAGCCCTCTGTCCCCCGCTCTCTCTAAGTTCCGCAATACAAAGAGAACAATAAATAACATGCGCAAAACACGCGCGAAAAATGAAACGAAACAAGGCATGTCAATATAAAACACCAATTATGTTCGTACGATGGAGTGTCTTCCATAAAACTACTAGAGAAAAAAAAATCTACACTAAACGTTACAGCTTTCACTTTGATCTATAAGTATGACCGAAACTGCTTCATCATCATTCTAACACGAAGCATCCAATCCATAACCTTTCAGAAGAAACAAAAGCGGTTTAAATGTTCACACACAAGAAAAAGGGGGCAATTATATAATACTTGTCAACACAATTCCGATTACACGAAATGAACTTCCATTATACAAAATAAAATAGAACATCACTTGTCACTAGGCACGGTTTAATTATTCACTCTCACAAAAGAGCGAATTAGAGAGCCAGTTCAATTATTCAATCTCACAGAAGAGCGAATTAGAAACCCGGTTCAATTATTCACTCTCACAGGAGAGCGACGGTTTGAACTAGCTTGCCTGGCAACGCGGTCGCAAGGGGTCACAAAGACTCCGGAAGTGAGGATTCTCTAGGTCACAAGTTCGTCACTGTAATTTCAGAATAATAAATGAGTATGCTATCAAAGGACGCCAGCAGGCACACAAACCAGCTTCGTCACTACGCTATTGTGTTCCTTGGGGCGTCTTTTCGCCTGCAAGTCGATTTAAGATATTAGCTACCTGATGCAGTCCTATACACTCCGTGCGACGCGACTGCCGCGCCGCCGCGCGGCCGGTACCGAAGGTAGGCAGTGAGAACCCAAGAGAAAACGAAACCGAAACTACTCCGCGTACGTTGGTAGGCATTGAAGTCGGAGTGGTGCGGTTGCGCTGGGTTCACAGCATGAAGTGCTGCCGGTGCTGCGTCATTAAGTGCTTCAATAGTTATGCGTCATATCTCGTGGAGACAAAGTTTCACAGTTTTTCACCTCGCCGATGTTTTGTGGGGCAGCGACAACGATGGAGCCGTGCCGTACGACGCGAGAAATTTGGTCTCCCGATCATGCCTGCCACTGTGTCGGCACGGCTGACATATTCTACACTGCCGTTTCGCGCTCTGCGTTTGTTTTCGTACCAGTAACGCCTACACGTGTTAGCATCGATGGGACGAACTGAAATGCCATCCCACACTCTCGGGTACGCAGTGGCAATTTCGTTGGAGGAATGCCCTCCAAAAAAGTTTCGTCCCCATCGTACGTATCGATGATATTTCCGGACAAGTATGGCACGCAATCTGTACTTCACGAAGAAAGATTCGAACGGTAAAAAAAGTGACAAATATAAATCTAAAGAAAACATTAATGAATCTCGGAATCAGTGAAAATTCGACGTTTGAGTATGGAAGTTTATGTGGTATGCTTTCTTTCTTGATCAGCCTCCTCTTTTGGATGTGGAAACGCTGACCCCGAGTTCTATAGACAACAATTTTTTTTCTCGGCTTTAGAGCCACCTATCGCAAAGTGGTTCGAACTGGAAGTACCGTCCACTGGTCCCTTCGAACCTGTAAAGTGTGCACCTCCCACGATGAGTGGCATTATCTGACAGCCTTTGACGGTCAAAGCCAGTTCCCATTTAGTTACGCCGCCCAAACTAAATTTCCACCTGGTTTCGTTATGCCAACTATTTTTGTTATAATACGTGTTGTGCCAAGTGACGGTCATGTCAAAGTACCTGTGCGCTGAAAATCTGCACCTCGCACAACAGGTTATTACACAACAGCTGACCGCAAAATCTCTTAACGGCCAAACCGTGTGTTAGCCGACAACTTTGTTTTCTCGGCTTTGGAACCACCTTTCGTAAAGTTTTTTTTCAATTGGAAGTACAGTCCACTAGTCCCTTCCTACCTATAAAGCCTCCACCTCCCCCGACCAGCGGTATTCTCTTGACAGCCTTTTCATGGTCAAAACCGGTTACCATTGAGTTACGCCTCCCAAACCAAATTTTCACCTGGTTTCCCTATGCCACCTTTTTTTTGTATAATAAGCGCTGTGTCATGTTACTGCCAAGTCCAAGCACCTGTGTGCCCAAATCTGCACTTTGCACAGCCCGCTATAACACAACATTTTGGGTCCAACATTGGATATCCCGTACAGCCTTATTTCTTTATTCGTTAGAAACATAACTTTCACACCTGCTGTCTTAAAGAAACTTGGCACTCTTCGTGCACAAACTTAGTGAACATCTCACTCGCCTCCAAATATCATCGTCCCAGCAGTCCTAGTTTTACAGCGACGCGCGAAATAAATTTCCCACTCACAGCAATTATGGTGGCGGCCTTCTTGCTTTTCGTAAAGTTGCTCCAACTTCTTTTTCGGCCGCAACTAGAGATATTACCCCTAATAACGACGCAAACTCAATGTATAAGAAGTGGGGAACAGCTAAATGCCCTTCTGCCGCACCACTCATGCAACGTCACCCTCATCGTATTGGCTCAAAAAGCAAAAGTTTCGTCCGTGCGCGCTTCCGCCGCCACAGCTCGGCATGCGAAAAGGCGCCGCAGACTGCTGAACGCGCCTCACAGTCGAACGCCAGCTCCTCCGCCAGCGGCGCTGCGCGCGTTTTTCAAAGCGCCCCCTATAGTTCCCGCACGGAGTGTATAGAGGAATTCTGTTTGAACTTCATATTGGAGCAGCGTTCCAGGAAGCGATAAGGCACCGGTAACACTGCCAATTTGAATAAAGGAAATCTGCCCAAGGTACTGATAAGGGACATCGTGTAACGGTTTGCTTTGATATCATCTGTGGCGCGACTTCGCCGGCTCTAAACGTATATGAAAGTTGGGATATCCGCTGATATTTCTGGAAGTCTTGAACAAGAGATAGCGGCTGCAGAGTGCACGCGTTGAATGTCAAGGCAGCGACATTATACCCACATTGTTACCTGCAACAATGCCTGCTCCAAGCACAGCTTTTGGTAACAATGTCAATCCAAACAAACTGTCCTTGTCAGGAAATGGCGTGTTGTTAAAAAAAGCACCTTCAATATTTCCCACCAGAAAACATTATTTGATAGGGGTTACACTCCATTAAGAGTTCCAAGTAACTTCCTCTGAAAGAGTTACCTAGTACCTATTGCAATATTTCTATTGCAAAATTAAAAAAAGCGTCAAAATGGTTGCAGTGCAGGCATACCACAGTGTACAGTTAAAATGCAATCGTTCCATAAGCAACTTTTACAAACATAAACGACCCTTCCCATCAAGATTTGTAACCTGGGCTTCCATTGCACTGGTTTGCAATGTTCACAATATGATTGACGCCCTTTTCCTTTACAACAGCTATGACAGCAATGCTGCCAAAGTGTACACTATAGGTGAAACAAAACATAAATAAAATATTGCTGATTTGCGTTGTCTAAAATGTTCTACGGGTGATTTAACTGCTGCACTGCAGCTCATTCAAGGTTGGGTGGGGCTTGCGGTCACTGCCCGCACAGTGAAACAAAAAAATTAACAACTAAAGCATCTGCTGACATTGTGCCGATTTGATGAAACAAAAACTGAACATGTTTGGATGGGAAAGCACAAAGACTGCTTCAGAGCCTCCGAGTTGAGGAATATCGCAAGTGTCCTGGTATCCTGCAAAAACGAAGTATGACGGCTTCCCACAGCTAACAAAAGATAACATCGCTCCGAACCGGTGAGCAGACGAACACTACTACTCACATTTCTGCAGTTCCTCAATTTCAGCGCTCTCGTCGTCAGACTCTGTTCCTGAATCATGATCGTCATCAGTCTGCAAGAATAAAAAAAAAAAGAAGGAAGTCAAAGGTGAGAAACTGGACAACAGCGTCTGAACAAATGCAACGATGACGCAAACAGAAGTCGCTCACCGAAACACCAAGGCGCATTAGCATAAAACAATCATCAGCGCTGCAGCGTAACTAACACCTCATGCATGCACACTGCAGTCCCCCCGTGCCCCTACACCGCCAAGGCCTCATGAAAGATGCACATCCTTTAACAATAGCTCTCAACCTTGCCTTTATTAATAAACTATGGCGATGTATGAAGCCTACTGAAGACTCAACACAGCTACTGGGTTCGGGAGAAAAGGTATAGCACCAGTCAAAAGTAAGCTTCTGTTCGAGCATGAAACTTACTCCTCGTGACGTTCGGTTATGGAAAATGATGAGCTGTTTCTTAAAAAATACAGCATGATGCCATCGAATGACAGGGACAATACAAGCGTATCACTTTTGAAGAGAGAAAATGGATGACAATGGTAGAGAAATAATGGTTCCTGTTCTGTAAATAAAGGGTATAACTCTCATCATGCAGATTGCATTGCTTGCAAAATTTCTAAAGTATGGTATGATTGGAATCATCGATTTTCAATGCCCAGTTATAGTTTTAGACCAAGTGTGTTTCTTGTAATAAAAAGAAAGCTTCCAGCGACTTGTAAAGCTTCAACAACACTTGAACTCTGGTCCACACACCACCTACGTCCAAACAGTAAACTTCAAAGTTTTTTATTTAGAACAAGGAGCGACTATTTCATGACAAAGAAAAGGAAATTATGGGGATTATGTGCACAACAGACAGATGAAGAGCATCTAAATATGCCTCAGAAAAAGACTGATGATTAATATTAAAGGTCTTCTGGGATCACTTGACATAAAACCAAAATCAGGGTTACACGGTGACTTCACCGCAATTCACTAAACCCCACCGGATTCGAAGCCTCAAACTGGGCTGCTCCAGAAAAATTACTCTTCTAATAATTATGAAAAAAACAAAAAAAAAAAAAAAAAAGACATGTAATACTTTGAAGGTTTTTGAAGGACCAGGAAATTATAGTTGGTCGATAAAAAGATGGAGAGTTAAAGAGAGTCATGATAACCACTCTTGATGGGCAACACTGCCCACAATTTATTTTTATCAAATTCTTCATGCACGAAACAATTGTTTCCCGAACAAACATAGAATTAGGTGGACCCAAAGCTATTGAACCCAAAAAAGGAAGATTGCAAGCAAAAGCCATCAAGTTTAACGAGTTCATTTTTAGGCTGACAACCTATGATGACCGCTTATTGTTCAGCCTAGCAAAACTGGAGCCCCCTAATTTTAACAAATTTGAAAATGTTCAGGGGTCACTCAACCTATAACAAGGTTTCTAAATCACTGAAAACAAAGTTGAAAATTCAAGGCTGTGTATGGTTTTCAAAGATAGATGAACCTGGGAAAGCTGATTCTTTCGAGTGTGGCTGGCGGTTCAGGAAGTAAAACAAGCCCCATCTGAAATCTCACAAGCGCACAAACGCAACCACATGGGTATGAATCGAGCTCGACAGTCGAAGGAGCGCGAAAAGAACCCACTCTAAATGGTGGGTACAGGCTCCAGGTTCCTTGGCACAACCATTTTACCGAAAATTTCCGGCCAAAAGTCCAGAAAACGCCATGTCCAGAACTACAAATAACAAAGACAGTTGTACGCAAACGGGAACCGTTACCTTCCGCAAGCTCTCTATTAATATGACCCTCATACCGTTTGAGACAAATTTATTAGAGGTTTTCTAGCCTTGCCTTTTCTGTATGAACACTGCATGCAGTTAAAGAAAAAGCAGACAGAACTGCTCCAATGTTTGGCTCAAAAAGACAATGCAAAATGTGTACGCTAGCCAAGCCACAAAACCAAGGCTGAGTGCCAGTGTCACTCGTGACAGAGAAGGAACAGGAGCAAACAACGGGGAAGTACCTTCTTGAGGCTGTCTGTCATGACTAATTTCAAGTTACCGAGAGGCAGCAGCTTCATGGCTGTTGAACTGATGACTGCAAAACATGCAACATGAAAGAACAACAATCAGTCCCAGCATGCACACATCACAGTCCAAGGTACCACTGCAAGACAATTCTTTAGTAAAATATTCGGTTTCCCAAGCCTGCGTCGTTATTTAACGCTGCTACCTGAACATAAATGATAACAATTCAAGTAGTTCATTATGGATGGCTATTGCTCATTTATGGGTCCTAGAGGTAACTTAACCGTCCCACAGCCAAATTATGAGAATCAAAAAGTTTCGAATCAGAGAAAGGCACGCATAATTGTCATCTCCCTTTAGTGTGCTGTGCCAAACAACGAATCCTAGTCCAGTCGCATATCTAGGCTTTATAAACTGAAGAGTATACTGAATTTTAGTGCAATCCCCAAGCCATTGACAGTATCAGACAATCAAGAGCAAGCCTAATCTCTGCAAGATATTTGTCAAAAGAAAACGTGTCTAACTGTTCAGCCTATTTTGCAGCGTTTCCTGACGCTCGTTAGGTTTCAGTCATATTCACCGAGCCAAGATGTTTCTACAATGGGAGGTCAGTCTGTCCTGATGCCCATTAGGTTTCAGCCATATTCACCGAGCCAAAATGTTTCTACAATGGGAGGTCAGTCTGTCCTGATGCTCATTAGGTTTCAGCCATATTCACCGAGCAAATATGTACCTACAATGGGAGATCAGGAAACAATTTGTCTAGTGGGGAACGGAGAGCTTGGGTTCTTAACTAGTATTAGGTACTCTGCAAACTTCCCAGCCTGATCAAGCTTACCATAATATACCTACTTCAATATGATAAGAACACCAAGCAGCATGCCCCGTTTGTAGGTACACAGGCCACGCATGCATGCCTTGCCAGTAAAAAAAACAAAAAACAACAAAAAAGTCTGAAGTAATAAGCAACATAAGGCAATGATGAATGCACGTGCAAAGTGCCGTCTGGTTTCGAGCTCTGCTTAGACGAACTGCCGCCCTAAACACCAGCGAGTGCGCTGCGTGTGACCGCAAACCCCAGCATGCTCCTGCGCATTCCATCCACTTAGCAACGAAGTCTATTCTAACGACAGTTGGAATAGATTTCCCGTTCGCGGAAACCCAGAAATGACATCGGGAACATGGGATCGCCCTTACGGTCACAACATGCATGCCACACGAAAAGATAGAAAGCAAAAGCGTCACAGAGAGACGCATTCAACTGCCCACTTTCCGGCTCGTGTAGCCGTTTCAAACCTGCAAGAAAGGCACCGGCACTGCTGTCAACCGATAAGGTAAGCCGCATAAAATCTAGAAGGCCCACACCGCAAGCGGGGACCATTTACGGCCCTTAAAACCGGCTCTGCCCCCGGTCACGTAGGCCGGCTCGTTTTCGACAAGTCATGCGCTGGGGTCGTGCAGGAACAATGCACCCAATAACTGATAAGCAACAAAGGCCAGCTGTAAACCTCGCAAAGCCACGATTGGGAACATGTGAAACAACGAGTCAGAGAAAGAACAAACAGCAAGCCATGCTAAGCAACCTGTATCAGAACCAGAGTTTGATAACGTGTTGACGAGACGCGGTTCTCCCTTGCCATCCAGAACACATGCCTTGCCGCGTAGCTGCGTGACGGTGAGCGGTACGAGCTATTCATGGAATCGCTAGATAGCGCGGCGAAACCTAGATTGGACCCGCTCACAGCCGCAACATGCAAAAAAAGAGGAATTGAAACGAGCAGTTCACCACAAGCCAGCCTTCTTGCAAAAGGCGGCAAACAACAAAACAATAATGTCTACACGTTCCATACGACACAGCAGTGTTGGAAACACTCGCGGAAGAAGACAAAGGCTTCACCGAGCATGTCAGCACAGATTCGTACGAAATGTTGTAAGCTTGCGTCCGTCTGGCTTCGCCTTTGTATGTTTTGCGCTTCCGCGCCTCAAAAACGAAAACTCCTCGCCTCGTCCTCCGCACTGCAGAAACAGCGGAGCGAAAAGAGGACAGGTGCGAGCAGCAGTGCACCGGGCAATTGTCTTCCCACAAAAATTGAAGAACTTGGCAATGCACAATATCTCATCAATCACCCCGGGATGACATTTTATACAACGAAGCCAGAATGGAGCCGTCTTCCACACTGCAACACAAGCGCTGGTGGCTTTGGTTGTTTCTCTACCGAGATGCGTTTCCTCTTTCGTGCATCGAAAATGTGCCTGCACCCTAGTTCTTTTTGTTGTTGTTGTTGTTTGCCAAAAGATTGCGCCGGCAACGCAGGTGGAAACGGGACACCTGCTTCGTTTCCAACTTAACGCTTCATGCACTCAGCCGCACACTTTTCTCGTCGTGGAAAGGTAAAAACAAAAAGAAGCAACAATGTCGTCTTTCGAAACAATGGGTTAAGACACAAGACAATTCGACGGTATTTGTCTCGGGGACCAGAAGGAATTAACTCGGAACGAACAATGACTGCAAGTCCTCCCCTGAAGCCAGTCTGCCATTCCATGGCAGATTGAAAATGGTGTCGGAAGTAAGTGTGGCCACTCCGGCGGACTCGGTGAAACACGACTTCTTGGATGCTTGCGATGATGGTCTCGAGTTCCTTCGCCATACGTTCTCTCGCCTCGTTCGATGGGAGTTGTTCCGACGTCATGAGGGTGTGTCCCAGAGATATTTGTCGCCTTCCAACTGCTGGCGCAAACAATTTACAGGAAGGATTCTACACCGATGCACCCTTTCTGTTCCAGATCCACGAGAAACAAAAGGTAGATAGTCTCTGCCCATTCCTGAGCACGGTACCATCAAGAGTATATATGATCCTCAAGTTTCGGTTTCTGGGTGGTTTGAAGCGGCAGCCGAAGAGCTGAATCGACAACTTAGATGCTTCGGGTAGCCTGAGCTTCCCTGTAGAGACGGACGGATCAAATCGGAACAGGATCAGAGACAGAGAACGACCAATGTACATCAAGTCTGCAAAAAAAGGCTTTCCCTCGAATGAGTTGAACCTTGAAGGCACCGCTGAGGAGACACTCCGCATCTGCAACCACTTTTTATCTATCCTGCTGCCCAACGCAATCGTGAGATTTCTATTATCCGTTTAACTCAGACACCAACCAAAGTGAGAATACACAGGCACACATTTGGAAAGTCCGAGTACGAAAGGAGTACTGCTCAATATGCAACCAAGGATAGGCGAAAACAAAGGGCCCGAAGCTTGCAAACCACAATTCAAGAACATCCAGATAACTCCAACACATACCGAAGTAAGAAGGCACAGATATACCCGTGCAAAACTTAGATCCGAAAGGAGCAGCACTCTGAATTAGGCCAATGATATGCCACAAAGTAAAAACCCCAGGGAACACAAGAGCACGGGCGAGTCTTCTCGAAGACATCGATAAAGCGGGAAAACAAATCAAGTGGGACGAAGAACTGCAATACAAACATTTCACAGAAAAAAAAAAAAAGGGGGGGGGGGGGGGTGCGGGGGCTCCATCATCCCTAGGCTCTGTATAACTTTCCAATAACTTCAACATCAAAATTAAAAAAAAAAAAAAAAAAAAAACACCGAAAGCGGGCGCGCGGAATCGACGTTTTGCCAGACAAGTAAGCCCTGCCCCACGTCCACGGGGCTTGCGGTATCTTGTATTTGCAATGCAAACTTGTCATCTCCGAAGGAGAGAACACAAACCGCTCGGCAGACGCAATCTGGGATAGGTCGCCGGTCCTCCGGCCACGCGTGTTTTCGTTTTAGAGCGGAGCTTGGGAATTAGCATGTCGTCGCGGGGAAAAAGATCCTATAATGCTCGCCAGGACGCATACATAAACGTGTGCATTAACATACATACAAGAGAACGTAAAATACAATAGAACCTTTCCTCCCCTCCACAAAAACAAAAACAAAACAAAAAAACTTGCGGAGCGTTCTTTTCTTTTTTTTTTTTTTTTCGAATAGTTTACGTCCGTACAGCTAAAAGCTCGGGAATGGTTAAACGGAGGAACAGGGCGCAAAGTGGCCGAGTCCCGCGAGGACAATTGCCGGCACACAAAAGAGTCCGCCGAGGTCATCACGTTTAGTTAGGCTTGGAACACAAAGACGGCCCCTATCCAAGGCCATATCGGAAGATGTTAGCTGACCAGCAGCAAGTTGAACTCTTGCCCAAACCGTGCTCTGACCACCACGTGCACGAATCGCTAGAGAACAAATGGTCTACCCACCGTGTTACTTTCATGAGAACAAGGCTCCCGGCACTTTGCCAGTTGACGCAACCGTACGAGATAGGAACTGAGACGCTCATCTTCCCTTCTACGATGAGCTTTTGCTAAAAGGGAGCCAAATGGAATCTAAAACAATCGACCACGGCGAAAATGGCGCATCACTGTGTGTACATTCCGTGAGCTCAAAAAAAGGTGAAGATAAACAAGACTGTTGTCGGCAACTTCCCGCGTTCGTACCATTATTGAGTTATTATCGAAAGGATTACAAACATGCTAAAACGCTGTATTCGGTTCGAGTCAAAAAGCCCAGTCAATTTTAAGGTAGCAAAGCCACTTTTGGAGCATAAGCACATTCTTCATTATAATTTATTCCTCTTCAAATTACACTATGTTCAGATCCATGAGTTGAACTAAAAGACAGTGCCTCCCTACTTCTCTTCAACTACTTGACAGTGTAATCAGTTTTCGACGCCATGTTGGCACGTGTTCTTCACAATCCGATGGAATGCAGTGAAAAGTGGCGGAGAAAGCACTTTGACGCAAATGGCTCAGCAATGACATTACTGCTGAGAGGATTCATTTCCCTGCCAAATCATTTGCCTTTAGAATACTGCCATGGTTGATATACTAAAGAGAATTACACACTGCCTAAAACCAACAAACATCAGCTACGTTACCGATGCAAAGGAACAAAGGCGGTTCCACCCTCGCCATATTTCGAAACAAAAAGATGTTCACAGGTTTCCGTCAGCAAACGAAAACGGGACTACAAATCCGCGCACAAAGGTTGAAGATCCTAAGCAGGGGGCGGGAAC